GTAAAGCAAGAAGAAGAAGACGCCTCACGCGCCTGCTGTTGAGACCGCGCTCAGGAGGACGCGCCGCCGCTCAGGACAGTTCAAACAGTTCGGACACTGCGTGAATCAGAGGTAAAAAACAATATAAATACTGTTCAGTTTCTTGCACAGACCGATCGTTTTGTGTCTTTACACATCAATGAATCGTCAAGAGCCGCAGGCTTTAATTTGGTTTTGTTCGTGTATGTTTTTTTTTACTCTCAAAGCCGTGATTCCCATTCACCTCCATTATAAGACTGACAGACTGCAACGGTTTGTGTTAAAAATCTTCGTTTGTGTTCTACTGAAGAAACAAAGTCACCTACATCTTGGATGCCCTGGGGGTAAGCAGATAAACATCACATTTTCATTTTTGGGTGAACTATCGCTATAATATTCATGCTTGCACAGTAAGTACCGCCTGTGTTCAGGTTATGTTTCATGTCTTATCGTCAAACCTGCAATTATGTCAGGAAATGTGGTCTTTGTTACTCAGAGAGACATACATACGTATACAAACACATTGAGATTGATACACAGGACAAGCGGTCCCCGAAGCAGATAAACAAATCAACAACAAACAAGAGAAACTCTTCAAACATTACGCTTATAAAGCACGATATTTGACTGCATCTGCAGTCAGCTCTAGGCAGGGGACACATTTTGGCTCTAAATAAACACTTTTCATCCTCAGAATTACACCACATATGTTGTATGTGTGCACAATTAGACCTGATCATAACAAAGGCAACAGCTTTACTGAAACCAAGTCCAAACCTTTGACAAAGCTAATGTCCACCAGACGCAAGACCTGACCAGAAGAACAAAGACAGAAATCAAACCAAAATGGTGTTAAAGTCAACATGAATTCAAAATTCACTCTATTTATTTTCTTAATGCATGTTTCTTGTGTTATTTTGATTGATTCAAAGGTGCTTATTAAATATACTGTGTGTATATATATATATATATATATATATATATATATATATATAAACAAATAAAAAAAATAAAAAAACATTTACTCATAAATTTACTGTTTTCTACCCAAATTAAGCTTATGCTTAAAACAAGAAAAAAGTACAGAAAGAAAAATACACTTAATTCGGCAAAATAATTTTCTTACCACACTAACAGATTTGTTTTCTTCTTGTTTTAAGCATAAACTCATTTAATTTTGATAATTTTTTCAGAAAACAAGACTCAATATCTTAAAGCATCTTCCTCCTCAAGTAAATGCATTTTAAATGTCTGATTTTTTAGATATTTGTAATGGAAAACAAGACACTAATTAAATGCTGTGTAAAATGTTTATTTTTGTAACTTGTTGGTCCTTCTTGGTGTGTGTGTGTGTGTGTGTGTGTGTGTGTGTGCTGAAGACACCTGTAAACATGCCCAGAGATTTGATGATCCATTACCTTGGGAAAAAGCAAATAATGTTTACCACAACACAAGTCAAAAAGTCAATTAGCAAAAGTTTTCTGAAGTATCAAGTTTAGGATGTTGTTTCAAATGGTAGTTTTCCACCATCTGGAGTCCAGTTTTGGTTTGTTTGCTGGGTTGCACAAACCCTCCAATTTGTCCTTAAAAGATCCCAAAATGTTCAAAGATGGCGTACAAGATGTACAGGATGTTCTGTTGCAATTCTTTGCACTTCTTCTAGCTATTTCATTAAAAAAAAAAAAAAAGGAAAAAAATGACTAGCTTTGCAGTTACTTAATACATTTACTGTACACTGAAGGCACTTATAGCAAACGCTTTGATCCAGTGCTTTAGTATCACAACTAAGAAAACACTGCGATCAACAGATGAAAGTATGCTATCTGAGAAGCACTTCTGTGTGATTACAAACAAGTGCTACTGCATTTATGTGCTTTGTATTTGAAGCTAGCTATAAATAAATAAATATATTTATCTGCTAGCTTTAAACATGTCAACTTAAATTTTACCTGATGCAATTTTACATGTGAATAAATCAATGTTCACTGTAGCACATATAACAACATGTTAGGATTAGGATAAAATCATACCAGCGTTATTTTTAATTAAAACTAAAACTATTAAGAATTGTTTTCGTTAATGTTGCCTTAAATTAAACTTAAAAAAAAAAACTTGAAAAATTAACTGGAACAAAACAAAACAAATAAAGGTAAAAAATTTTAAAAAAAACTAATACAAATGTCATAAAAATTGTATATAATTTAAATTACAATTAAATCTGAAAATATAAAAATAAAACCTAATTCAAACCATTAATATATACAATAATATTATCCAAATAATTCTAAAACAACACTAATATCTACCAGTACTGAAGTAAAAGGCAATTTGGAAACTTATAAAACAAATGTGTTTGTTTAGTTGAGTGTAAGTGGACTCATTTTTCCCCCCATAATTCAGTTGGGCTCTGATGGGGGTCCCTCTGATTGGGGTCTCTGCTGTATGTTTACAGGTGTTTAGGAAATGTGTTTGTGTGAGTGTGCACACATTTATAAATGACTAACACAACATATGGTGCTAATGTGACACGCTCTTTTTGCAGCGCAAGCATTTTTTCCATTCTCAGCTGTTTTCAGGCACATCTGACTGGAGACAATGGAAACTAATGGTGCCTTGGGCTTCACCACAAATGACACTGAAAATCACACATTTTCTAGCAATGTGCTGATACCAGCAATAATTCCTGCAGACGGAGACAATCATAAAAAAAAAAATGAGTGACAACAAACCACCATTAACAGTCAG